CGTGCCTGGATCTCAATGACAAGTGAGTTGAAGTGGGTCCTGTCTCTCTTTATTCCCTCTGTATATGTAATTAAAATTAAGTTAAAACCATAAACGTATCTAAATAACAATGGAGAAACAAAGCTAATACTAATCAATACCTAATAATACTGGCATATGAACATACAGCAACGCAGATTTGGAAAAAATAATGCTACTACAGATAAGGAAGGTTATTTCATAATTAAAAAGTTTTAATTTATAGATGGTACACGTAAACACAAAATAACTGCATCTGCTAACAAAGGTTCAAAACCAACAACAACATATGATAGTAATACAAGTGGAAAACATGGTGCCAGCCATACATTTCTTTCAAATGATAACAGAATAAATATACAATAATTTAGCTAGGAGTTAAAATTTTAAATAATATTATCAATTAATTTGACTAATTACAATTACATAAGTTTGATCAAAGTTAGAAGAAAACATTTTTAAGTTTACTCAAAAAGTTTGCAAGGGTAGATCATATTTTAGGTTGTGACACAATGCCCATAAATTATAAAGATATGTGAAACATGTAGATTGTCCTCTGATTAAAATCAAACAATAGTAGGAAGGAATATAAATCTGAGAACACAGCCTGGAATTTATTTCACTGTAGCATGCTCCACATAGTGCCTTTAACCACGGATTCAATCCCCAGCATGGCATAGAGAAAAAAGGAAAGAAAGTAAAATACCCACATACACGGAAAGCAATTAACAAAATTACAGTAACCATGATCAAAGCAATGAGAAAAGTTAAAAATGCAATTAAAAATTAGTTATAACTGGGTAAAATGAAAATAAAATGACCTAAACAATTGTTGTCATGCATTTGAGAAAATACTCATAGAAAACTGAATAGCAATTAATGTCCTTTTAGGAAATCTCCTATCATAGATGTAAACCTACTGCAAAAGAAACTTGAAACAGAAAAATCTAAATATATGTACACAGTAAAGAAATATTATAAAATAGTACATTAAAAGGAAAAAAACCAACAAAATCAACAGCTATTTCCTTGTATTGTAGTGTGTAGTTAGACCTCTATGCAGATTATTTTTCTTCAAAGGAGAAAACATAAATATGAGTAATACAAAGACAGTGTTATAGGTTGCATAAACAAAGATATAAATGAGAATTGTACAGCCAAGTTCATAGGAATATAATGAGTCTTGGTTACTTTAGAGGTTGAATGGGAGAACCACTTGAGCCCAGTGTTGGAATCCATGTTGCACAAAATAGTGAGATACCAATTTGAGGGAAAAATTTAGCAAAAAGAAAAAAAATCACATAAGAGATTGTTATGGACAGGCTTATGTCATTTAATTTGGTAACTCGGGTAGTGTGGACAACTTGAAGAACAAAAGTAAATTCACTCAAGGAAACAATAGTATCCTTGTATACTATTATCAACAAACAATAGTATCCTTGTATACTTATATCAAAGACTTTGAAATTCCATTTTAAAGCTTTCCCACAAACTAAACTCCTTACCGGTGAACTTCTTTGAAAATTTAGTACATATTTAAGGAAAAAGTAATACAAATTATAAACAAACAGTCTCAGAAAATTTAAGAGAAGTCACTTCCTACGTCAAGGTCCTGAGTTCAATCTCCAGAACAAAAAAACAAACAAACAAACAAACAAAAAAACCCCAATGAATAAGCACTAATTACTCTGCTTTGGTGCTTTCTGCTTGCTTATCACATATAAGCCTCAAATTGCCAAGGATCAGGGCCTGATACTTTGGAAATGATCCCAATCAGTGCTAGTTGATGTAAAAAAGATCTGTCTCAGAATCCTGGGTGTCACTTCAGTGTTTCTGTTTGTGATTGCACCTTAACTTACTGTGCCCATTATTTGAGATTCTTCTCAAAATCATTTACTTAACAAATGAGGAACATTTTATGACGAAAAGACTGTTATTAATTATTATGAGAGTATTCTTATTTTCCAACCAACAAAAGATAAATTTTTCTAATGTCATGTAGATTTTTTTCCTTAAAATCAAATAATTTATATCTTTTAGGCAAATTTTGTATCACATCTTATCTCAGAAAAAATGCTATAGATAGTATTTATTTCTTTTACTCCTTGCATAAATGTAAACTATTATGCACACATTGTAACATTCATATGTATTTTTGCCTAACTGAACATAACAAGTGTGATTTGCATTCCATATTTGTTTCTATTTTTACTCAAGCAAAATAAATTAATAGTTAAATTATCAAATAAACTTTTTCAGGATGATTAATGCTGCACTAAAAAGACTCAAAATACACATCTGAGTACGTTTCCCACTTTTCCATCCCTCAGAGAATCTTCAATTTATATTTTAGAATTAAACTTCCAACCAATTTGGCACAAATGGCAAATATGAGTAATATTTTTTCTTTATCTATATCTTTTATATTATCATCTATATCTACTCTTTTAAGAAGATTTATAATAAGCAACTCTTAACTATGCTGTTTTGCTTTTGCATAATGTTAGATGTGTTTTTCTAGTAATTCCCATCATCAAGTTGATAAATGGATCTATGCCTTAAAAGAAGTACAGTCATTGCTGTTGTACTGAGCACCAAACTTAAGAATGTTTGCTTCTCAAACTTGATGTCAGCAAATCCAAAAGAAATCTAAATTCCACATTACTAAATTGTAAGAGTCTACAGAAAAGCAATAGAATTGATACATCATATTCCAAAGGGAATAATGAATATATCATGTTAAGATAAGGAACTAAATACAATAGAACCATCATTCCAAAATAATAATGATCAAGCTGTGTTTGGCTGAATATAATTTTGCACTGTAAAAAGTTGAGAAAAAATAAAAATTGAGGAACAAATATGCATATGTATACATTTATCTATGTATACCTTGATGAGACAGTAACAGAAATATACACATGTGTATCTTGCTTTAAAATTTAGAACAACATATCCTAGTGGAAATTGGTGATGATGATGATGATAATGATTATACCCTTTGAGGATCCTATGGTCTTTTATCTGTCATCACTGACAATTTTTGTGACTTAATGTTATGTTATGGAATAGAATATGAGATCCTATGGAATATAGACTTTGGGTATCTAACATTGAATCTCATGTTTTCTACAGGGTGTCAGTGTAATCTAGAAATTGAAACAACAGAAAAAACTTACAAGTACTGCTATGATATTGACTTTGTGAGAAAATTTCTGAAAAAGTACTTTACACAGTTTGGTGTAATAAACACAAAAAGAAACTAATTGTTCAATAGCATTTTCCTCCTTGATATTTCCTTTTACATAAACAATGTATTACATTGAATCATTCTTGGTGGCAACTTTTTATATCTACACTATTAAATATTCTTTCCATTAGCACTGAAATTCTGGCATACTCAGCTCAAGCTTTTGTTTTATGATTAAAAATCTATCTTACTATCAGAAGTTACAGTCCCTAATTTTGGTATGCATTCTTTAGAAATTAAAGAATTATAAAAAGTCTCTTTTCTCCATACATCATAATGGATTGATAATGTTGGCACATAAATAAGCACACTGGAATACTTACTGTGGTTAAGAAAAGGTAGAGTTACGTTTCACAAATGATTTTGTGTTATATAATTGGAAAGTGGAATAATAGCCAGAACGAAGGAGAATGTAGTTATAATTGCAAGTAGTAGTTATGGACAATAATTACCTAGTGTGAAAGCTTTTCTTGTCTACATGCTAAAACAGCTTACAATTCCCTCTATTTTAATAAGTGTTTAATATTGGATTTTATATATATTTGGGATGAAAATTATAGTGAATTATTAATCACATTTGCTTTTGATTTCAAAACTGGAAAACCAAGTGGTTGTTGGGATGCAATATTTCATAAGGGCTTTCCTTCAGTCTTATTTTCTTGCTTTCTATTCTTTTAAACTCTTTCATTTTATTTTAAAGAGATTAAGACAAAACAGGACATAAAACTTTTATGCTCCATCCAGCTAGAATGAAGTCTCTTTTCACGTATTGTTATATTATTTCAGATTTTAGTTATAGGAAAGAAATCATTTTGTTCTTTCACTTTCTGTCTGATATTTAGAATTGAAAAGTTTGGGGGGAGGGAAGCAAGGGAGGGAAAAATTCTGCATTTTCCATCGATGTAGTTACTGGTAATATTATTTTTTGATTCTCAAAAAAATCCTCGGTTTTAGTGTTTTCTGGTTGTGGTGGTAAAAATGCTCTTCATTGACTAGTTTCAAGCTATCTACATGATTCTGAATTCAGTTAGAAGGAGCAAAACAAAGTTAATCTTGTAAGTCACTGCGACCAAGTTTCAGTACAAGACTTTGTGTGTGTGTGTGTGTGTGTGTGTGTGTGTGTGTTTCAAATATTGAAGAGAGAACAGAGGGAAATGTACAATGACTACCATTGTTGTGTAGGCCATGAAAGACATAAATACTAAAATTAATAAGTAGGTAAGTGAGTCAAAAACTTCCAGAGTACTAGAATTACTTAGAAAAAATAATATCATGGTGTAACATAAATTAGTTTGGGGGCTCTGATGGAGGAAATATTCTTTGGCTATTTTATTGGTAAAGTCTATTTTGTGAAAGTGCTATTTGGTTTTAAACTTATGTGATATCAGGAATATGCCATATAAAATATTCAGCTCAGCAGTATTAAAATAGCCTCGAGGTGACTGAGAGATGGAGAAAAGAAGCAAGGAGGGATGCAAAGCATGAGTTGAGAAATAGGACAGATTTCATGCAGCCCACTTCATGTATGATTATCAGTAAAATTTTAGGCCACAAGTCCACACTGTAGTAAGTGTTTACACATACCTCTAGTGTGACAGTTTTAGGGAAAGACTTTCAGAAAATTATGAGGGTTTCTGCATTTGGCATTGAGGGAAAAAATAACTTAGCATATGAGATTTTGTTCCCCCAAACTTTTAACATTATAAAGTTATATTAGGACATTTTTTGTTAGCTTTCTTTCAGCACCAAATGACAGCTTTCTGCCTGGCCCTCAGAGGAACATGGAGCATTCGAGGATAAGAAGGGAAGACATTAGAGCACAGGCAAAGAGATGATGATGCCACAGAAGAGATACAAGATGCACTTTTCAAAGAGTAGGTATCACAGCTATATTTTTATAAGAAACTTATAATTTAAAATGTTCTGAAGAAATCAGATTATGAGGTAAACATTAAAGCAAATTAATCAATTCACTGAGCTGACTGAATTTTTCTTCCCTGGACACTGAAAGGGAAATGCCTTTCTGAAGACTCAATCTAGGCCAAACATCAAAGAAAGTAAGAATTTATTTACAAATATTGAAAATGTATAAAATCTTCCAAAAAATAAAATATGGCTACTGGGAAATTGGTAAATTAGCTCAGGCTGTCTGCAGCAAAAGACAATGAAGTTGCCACTGAAGTACGTGTTCCTGGTCTTCTACTCGTGCTCCATAAAAATGTCTACAGGTGAAAAGTAGACTATGTACTTATTAACAAGCAGATATGCTTTTCTTAATCTCTTGCAGACTAAAACTTAAGAACTTCTAAAATAAGAGTAAAACTTATGACATAAATATCAAACATTTTCTCTATTGCTTTTACTTCCCTTGAAAAATCTTTGTATAATGCAGTATGAAAGATTAGACTGTCTGTAAAATGGGACTTTACAGTCAAGATATCCAATTAGGAGGGAGAGATCAAAATTAAACCACATAAAGGACGTATCGAGAAATGCTGTCTAACAAATGCTTGCTGATTGGCTCTGTATGAACTGTGCAAAGGAACAACACATGATGAAAGTCAGTCTGTTTTTTGCAAGTTGGATCGCAGTGTTGACAGCAGAAAAAGAAAATGGGAAGAATTAGGAGGATTGGACAGAGAGTGCCTTCAAACTTCCCAAGGAAAATGGGATAAAGAAAATACTTCATCAGCAAGGTTCAAGTCCAAGGTGATGAGCAGGAAATGTGGAGGGAAAAAGACTCTGAAAAATAAGGAAATTAGCAACAGAAGAATGGAAAAGTAGAAAAAAGTCACCAAGAAAGGGTCCAACAGTACCCAAGAATAAAAGGGCAACACAAATCATCCATCCTTCATCAAATTGCCATTAATTTAAGAAGAGGAGAGAATTTAAAAATAACTCACTCTTATGTTGATTGTGAACTGTTGTAAAAGTTATATTACTGCAAAAAACTTCTTAGCAAGTAAAAGCCATGGAAAATGTGGCCTACATATCAAAAATACAATAAATGATACAATGATGTTTTGCATCAGCAACTAACAAAATGCACATCACATAGATCAGCTTTTTGTCCAAGCAGAGATTATGCTGAGGGCTTCCTGTCCAGAAGGATGACTTATGGAGATATGACGAGTTGGCAGTAAATTACTGTGATTGGGAAATGCCTTGGCATTAGGGCGCCCGCAGTTAATTCTCTACAAGTGAGGAGGCTGTGTTTTAAAGAGCAGTGAGTAGGGCAATGACAGAGTTCTCAGAACTAAGCTCAGGAATACGAATACTTTGCTATCTAGCTCCTGTTTTTCTCCATCCACAAATATTTGAAAATATTTTCCTTTCTTCCTAAAATACAGATCATGAAACTATTCATGCAGGACAGCTAGCCATGGCAAAAACCTGACTATGGTCTGGTAGAAGAAATAGAGATTTACAAATTGAAACATTTATCTATCTTTTTGCATGTTGACAGTCATTATGTAGTTTATGGTACAAATACTTTAGGAAAAAAATATAGTATAGTAAACCAATAGTGTCACACTTCAATTACTATACCTAAGACCAGTCATCAAACTAATTTATAGAAATTGATATAATAGGGGGCTGGGGATTTATCTCAGTGGCATAAGAGCCTGCCTTGCAAGTAGGCACCCATGAGTTCAATCCCTGGTACCAATAAAAAAGAAAAAAGCCAAAAAAAAAAAAAAGAAAGAAATTGACATTATATATATATATATATATATATATATATATATATATAATTAAATTTGGTTTATTTGGAACAACTATTAATGCATAGAAAGGATCGATTCTGTTCTCTTTCTCCCCTTACTGGGAAAGAAGCTGTCTGAAGTTGGTGTGTGCAAGCAATCATAATTCTAAGTAACTTTCTATGTCAAAAATATACAGGTTAATTGCACTGCAAGCACATTATATTTGATATTTAGTGATTAACTCTTATTTACTAAAGACATTAAAATTTTAAAAGAGAGAAACTCTAAAAATTGTAATTTAGGGAGTCAGCTTATGATAATTTAACTTTCTTGAAAATGTCGTGCTAGAGAGATAATGAAGAATTTATACAATCTTCCAAATATTCCCTATCACTGGTATCTGTATCTTTACAGGAATACAAATGATCATGATATAATCCTTCATATTGTTAAGTAGATGTATACATATAAAAATATATTGATGTATCTTAGGGTTATATATATATATATATATATATATATATATATCCTAAAAATCTATCTATCTATCTATCTATCTATCTATCTATCTATCTATCTATCTATCTATATGTCTATGTATCCTTGAGTCTATCTATCTAAAACCATAGACAATTTCAGACACAATAAAGAGCAATTTGCTATTAGAATATTTTCTCATTTGCTGTTATGTTTTACCAATTTGTCCTCAGGAATTTCATATCTAAAATGTTACACATATACTTTAGAAATATATTCACCTTAGGAGAAAAATGAAGCCATTCTTAATGATGTGAAAAATTCTCTTTTAAAATCCAGGTACTGAGAAAATTATTTAATCCACTCTTTTACACCAGGAGCAATTTATTTAAGAAGGAATATTTACTTCACCTGTTATATATCCCTTATCAGTTCACAATATGTTATGAAAAAATGTCTATATAACACACCCTGAATTATACTTCTACTATTTAAAAAAAGACAGTTTTGTGTTCATTTCTGAGTATAGAACAATAATTTTTAGACAAATCACAGGAACAAAAATAAACCACACAAATAAAAATAAATCCTTAAAGCATACTTTTTATTGTACTAAAGAATATCAAGAGAATAGTAAATAATATTTTCTTTTATTACACAGTCACAAACTTCCTAACTTAGATGGTAAAGTCAAATGCTTTGTATTACTCTAGAACCAAAATATTATTAACTTAATATATTTAAATCAACCTCACATCTTTTATGAATGAGCAACATATTAGAAAATAAAGTCCTAAAATGAGTTTTAAAATATAATATTAAATGCGACGGAAAAATAAATGTCAAAAGGTGGTGAATAGGTTCCTAGCATTGCCAAAATGTTTGCAAGTTTATTTCCACAGATATTAAATTTATATATTTTGTCAACTCTAACAGAAAATGTTTTGGCAAAATGTGTTTTATGGTATGGTTTGCAGGATAACAACTTCTATGTAACACAAATTAAGATAGTGACATTTTAGACAAAATAAGATCAGAAAAGACCAATAAGTGTTACAGGAGTCTCTCTCTCTCTCTCTCTCTCTCTCTCTCTCTCTCTCTCTCTCTCTCTCTCTTCGTGCTAGTGATGCCCTTTTGGTCTAGGATAAAAAAAATAATTTTCAGTGATTTAAATTCTTTTATAACTTCACACATGTCCAAATGTGTAGAGTTACAGATTCTCATATTTAGTGTCCACTAACACCAACACTAATTTTAATCCTTATTGTATAAAGTCCCTATTTCCATTGTCCATCTAATGTATCTTTTGAACTTTTAGAGTATTCATGAAGTTCAATTTTGGGGGAGTTTTTGCTGTCTATCACAGTCCAACTTTTCTGTTTGTTCTAATAATTGACAACATAGTTCTGTTTGAATATTATCATACTGTTTTCTGATTATATACCTTGCTACAAACTCATAAAATAAGAATAATGTAGTGTGTATTATATTTCATATGCCTATACAAAAAACAGACCATCAGACAAGTGTAATTTTGTACTTAATGAGCATCTAACCTATCCTTCGTAATATCCATATGTCTGTTTATTATCACTGAAACTTTACAAAGGAAATATATACTTAATATTACATTAATGTATGGAATTTTTTGTATTTACTCTTTAATAATTTCAAATTTTTTGTCTTATATATTGCTAAATTAATATAACCTCATAATAGTCTAGTATCTTACTTTTTTATTTTGGCCATGATATATTAGAAAATATGTTTGCAAAGGCAATATTAAGGAGGTAACACTTTTTTATTTTGCAAAAACTGTGCTTCTTGTAAAATCATGGTATATTTTAGGTGAGCCAAAACCATAGTTATGGTTAGAGGCAGTAAATCAAGCTTGAGCCACTTATCTCTGTGTGGTTTATGACAGATAAGCTCCTTGTCCAGCAGCTCATGTGTGAGCAGAGTTGTTTCACCCACAGATGATTTATTTTGGGTGATCTACTTGTCCAATGAAGATTTATTGCAGAGCATCCACTCTCCACAGTGATTAAACATGTGCGGTTGGCATGTACAGAAGTCAGCAAGCAAAACCAAGACAAATGGGCATAGATTGTCCGACCTAGAACCACTGAACCCAAGCATGAAGCAGAAATATGAGTGATGTCTTGTGAAATCATAGGAGTCCTCTTTTAATTATACAGTTTTATACTATTTCATTACTCTATAAAAATGAGATTATAAAATTAGGAATACTATTGTCACTTTCAGTGGATCAAATACTGTTTTGAATTATTGAACATGAGCTGTGCCAATGTGCGCTGTTTAGAAGTTTTAACTGATCTATATATTGTCAGGTTAGGAGTCATGTCAGTCAGATCTCTTTAGTCTATGAACTAATGAAAGATTTCCTCTTGTTTTCTTGGTTTAGTTTAGTTTTGTTTTTGTCTTTTTGAGACAAGTTTGGGCTGGCCTTGAGGTCACAGTGTAGCCCAAGATGATCTTGAACTCACAACGATCTTCCTGCCTCTGTCTCCCAAGTGCTGGGATTATAGGCATGAGCCACCACAGTTGGCTAATAGAAGGTTTTCAATGAACATACTTACATTTATAAAAATATTAAATTATTGCTGTAATTTTTCTAGTAGTTATTCTTTATTCTTGTTACTTATTAAATTGTTATTTATCAAATACTATAGATATTAAGTAACCTTTTTCAAAGAAATTCAGACCTGTATTTATATTTTCACATGGTTTGTCACACAGCAGAACTTTTGAATTATATTCGATTTCACAACATAGAATTTTTAATTTATAAATTATGCTTTTTATTGTATATAATTTCAGCTAACACATTATCTTGTAGATTTCTCTTATATAATCATCTAAGAATTTTATATTTTTCTATTTTATGTATTTACTTGAAATGTACAAGGCATCTGTGGGTTTTTTTCCCATCTTTTTGAGACAGAGTCTTGCTATGAAGTTCACGTTGACCCTGAGTTCACTTTGTAGCCCAGGCTGTTCTTGAACTTGCAACAATCCTCCTGTGTCAGCCTCCTGTGTGCTAGGATTACAGGTGTATACCATGCCCAGCCAATTGTGTTCTTCTTTCTTAAATTATTAATGTAGATGATCAGTTATCTCAGTGTGTGAGGACAATCTTTCTCAGATAAGTTTACTATACCTTTGCGAATGTTTTTATGAGCTTTCTGAGCCTTCTGTACCATTGATCTATTTGCCAATTCTATTCCCCCACCCCCCCAAATCAAACTTTTTGATTATCATAGTTTTGTAGCATAAATTAAGTCAGATAGTGTCCACTCTCTAACTTTGCTGTTCTTTAAAGTAGTGCTATAGTATTAGATATTCTGATTCTTGTGTTTCTTTTTAATTTTGTTTTTGTTTTGTTTTTGCAATGCCAGAGATAGAATCCAGGGCCTTGTGATTACGAGACAAGAACTCTACAGCTGAGCCATATCTCCAGCTCTCTTTATAATTCTGAATCTCTTTGTCAACACCTAAATATTCAGCATCTAAATGTAATCTGAGTTATAATAAACATTTAAATTAGAAAGAATGGATATCATGATGAATTTGAGTATTTTTATGATTTTTATTTATATTCATAAAAACACTGTCTCATGGTTGGATTCTGGAAACTTTTGTTTTAGTTTACATTAAGCAAATTTTTAAGCATTGTATTTCTCTGTTTTTACTTTTATAAAGAGTCAACTGTTAAAATCTAGCTTATCAATTTAAATTTGGAGATATATATATATATATATATAGTGATGCACCATAATTGAGACAAGATCAACTTTCTACACTCAGAATATTCATTTTTTTCTTATATGAAATTGAGCATCTTGAAATCTAGTAGGCTCCGAAATTACTGATTTACTCTTTTACACAGTAGTTTTACCTTTTCTGTAATTGCATACATGTTGAGCTTTATAACACATCATATTAGGTTTAGTTTCATTCTTATAGCAAAGCTTTTGTAATTCTTAGCAGACAATGTACCATATCCATACAATTGAGTAGTTATTGATTTGAGCGAGATTTCTACCCAACAACATCATTTATGAATAAAAATATTTTTTCCTTCTAGTAATTACACATTTAGATTGTATTTCATATCCTCTTACATTATCTAGGATTTGCATTTCAGTATTGAAAAGTAAAAATCAGAGTAAATATTTTGCTTTCATTTTGAACTTAGTGACATTTGTATATTTATTTATGCTGAATGTACTTTTTCATTTGTTTGACTTTCAGTACGGTGAATAAAGCCAGTTTGGATGATTGAGCTCATAATTTTTAACTAATGTCCACACTCATAATGTTTAATTAGGGTAAGTACCTATTGAAGGAATTGCTGAATCATTTCATTAGTGTATTTTTATGTGTATAAGAAATTACCACAACAATTTCTAGAATGATTGTACAGTTATTCAAATCATCCACTAGATCTGATAGCTCTAACTCACTAGAAACACTTGGAATTACTAGCCTTTTTAATTGTGGCAATTGTCGATTATACATAGTGCTACTTCACTGTGGATTTAATTTGAATTGTATTAGTAACTGGCAATATTGAACTTTAAAATTTTTACTCATTCTTACATCACTTTGGTCAATATATCTTTTTAAGTGCTTTTCTCATTTAGAAAAAAAATTGACTGTTTAGCTCCTTGTCACTTACTTTTAGGATATTTTTACCATATTCTGTCCTTTTAATTTCCGTGGATATTTGAATTTTGTACTCTTGCACTATATCTTCAAATCCACTTCCACGTGATGGACTAGTTGTTCTGTTCTCTTAGAAATTTGCATCCTTTCCTTCATCCGAAACACAACTTGAAAACTAGAGCTCTGTTTTATAAACTTTTCTATTATTTATGACAATATGCTAATTTCTATAGCAATGGATTATTCATGAGTAAAAGTTTTGTCCAATTGATTATTGTAATTGTCTTTAAAATCAGGAAGAACCATGTAATGAATGGTTTTGGGTAGTTGGCAACCACTTGAAAAAAAGTAGCTTTCTCCAGCCTTAGACAGTTAAATCATTTATTGTTATTCACATATAGTAGATCAATGAATTATGCATAAAAATTTCAAAATGTGAGAAACGATTATTTTCTTTATTCTTTTTTCTTTTTTTGTCTTTTTTGTTTTTATCTCTATCAGGGATCGAACTCATGACTGCCTGCTTGCAAGGCAGGTGCTTATGCCGCTGAGCTAAATCCCCAGCCCCGAAATAATGATTCTTGAGAAACAATTTCCCAACATAATTCAAATAGCGAATAAGCAACAAGAAAAAATTGAATACATGAAAATATATTTAAGATATTCAGTTATTTAATCCTCTTCTGAATAAAATTTAGAGTCACAATAGGAAAGAAGCATAGATTAGAATTTATTAATTTTTCAACTACTATTTTAAAAAGATTTGAAAAACTTGTTGCTAATTAGGAAAGTAAGTGATCTCTCTCTGTCTCTCTCCATCTCTGTATATATATATATATATATATATATATATATATATATATATTATGTATTTATATATATACTATATATATTTATACATATACATATATATTTACCTATAGATAGGTGATAGATATGCTAGCTTACATATCATATATGTGTGTTCATATTTATCCCTGAATTCAAAATTATCCCAAATTGATAAAAATATAAGATAAAAAGAGCTGTTCCTCAAAAATGAAAAAGAATCAAATTACCAGTTGACACATACTAAATTCATTTTTATTACCTTTCAAATAACATTGAAAATTTGGGCTTGCCTCCCTGCATTAAGTGCTATGCTGGTCATGTGTATAACTACAGGCTGATAAAATTATCTACTTGGTTTAGCACAATTTCTTTTAATTGCTTGTTAATGTGACATAATTTTAACTAGCTCTTTCATTGCCATTAAGCAATGCATCCTGTAATCATCAATGTGCAAATATTTATGTGTTACATGTGACATAGTTTGGATTTAGAATGCCTCAGAAAAGTTTATGTTCTAAAGACATGTTTCCACCATAAAGTATTGTTGAAAGGTGATGGAAGCTTTAGAATTTGAGGACTGATGGAAATAGGCCACTGAGGATATAATGGACTCTGATACATCCCCCAGCTTACCGCCATAAGGTTAGTGGCTTTGCTCCATATACATGCCCTTTCATGGCGCTCTGCCTCCCCATACACCCAGAAAAAGATTAGCCAAATGAGTATGGATTAAAACCTCCAAAACCATAAGATAAAAATTTTATTTCTTTGAGTTGTCTCTGTCAGGTATTTTGTCACAGTGATAGAAAGTTGCAACATATGATGAAAATCAATGGAATATTTGTATGTTTTTATTGAAATCCATAATACAGCCCTCTTTTTCTTTGCACCTATTCTCTAGAAATTCTCTAGAATTTCTCTAGAATTCTAGAAATTCTCTAGAAAATCACAGAAGAAATACAAAATGATATTTTTGTAAACATCATTTATCACATTTGGTAAACTGATCCAGAGAATATAAAATTTATGGCAGACACATCCAGTTGATTGTCTAATAGCCATTCTTTCATCTCTTTCCTGGTAGTAAAAATTTTACTCCCCGCCCCAGGTATTGTGTTTCATAAGCTCCTTCAGAGCTATGGAAGAAGAACAGAGTGGGTGACATAAATGTTGTGCAATGCACTCTTTAAGTGTGGGAATGTAATGCCACCATAGCTAACTTGGAAATAATATTTAATATAATTTCTCACTATATATGATTGTCTTTTTTTCTAGTAATGAATGTGAAAGTATGTGACACATTGTCAGGTACTCATAATGCCATTCTGAAGGTGGCTATAAACATACTGGGAAAATAACTTAAGTATTTGAATATTTTATATTGCTGTGGTTTTCACTTTCCTGAAAATGCACAGCCTGTAAATATCATGTCATGTGAGTTAATATTCATTTTATTGTTTGTATTAGCTACATCAAATAGAACAAAACTGACATAAAACTGTAAATCTGTGAAAAAACAAAGAATTGCTTACCACTATGAAACATTTTGCTTCTCTTAAAATACTAAGAATGGCACCAAAGAATATTATTTTGATATGGAAGACAAATCTAGGCATGATGATAAATATGCACACTTATGCATAGCATATGTAACATTTGTCTATGCCTATTAATGTCTATGCACTTAAGAAATACACTTTTTATGCATGCAGGTATATGATATATCTTTAGAGCACAGACAAACTTTTGCAGACACATGCCCTAAATGAACAACCATTATAAGTATAGAAAGGGTCACAAGGACTAGGATGTAGATTTCCTGAAAGTTTTCTATATAATAATGTGCAACTTAAAAATATTTATTGCATATACTGAATATGTGCCATATGAGCATGCATTTAATTATTAAACATTAATATAAAAATTTAATCAATACAAATATGAATGCAAACATTATCAAATTAATAAAGCTAATTATGCAAGTGTACAATAATGCTGCACAATATATAAAACTGAATATGTTGTTTAAGAATGATAAACATATGAGCACTTAGCTAGATTATTACTTCTATTAGATTGTAGTAGATTGCACACTATCAAATACTAAAGGTAAAGAATAGGATAAGAAGAGAAACTGCTTCGTAGGCCACGTGGAAGAGGTTTCTAGTCTCATCCATATGATTTTTACATGTTTCATGTCTGAGTTATCAGGAAAGAGAAGGTCCACTTGCCTCCCAGGAATCCATCAAACACTGTCAGTCATAGTCTCTTACTTCATATTCCAAATTTAAATGCCCTGAGCAATCTTTATCCTTAATAGTTGAAAAGTTAAGGGTTAGCATAAGAAGGAAGTGAGCACTATAATGATTTAGGTACCCTTTGATGTACTAAAGTGCTAATTTACCAGATGGTACCCTAGAGTTTTAATACATTTCTGGAGGTGCCTAATTAATCCCATATTATAGCAATTAACAATAAAATACTACTTTTGCTTCCATAAATTTTGGAGTGAATTTTGTTAACAATTTCAGTGAAATAACCTGTATTTTATCATTGCTTTACATTTTTAAACACTGTTAATCTATTCATAGGACTTTGTTGATTCATTTTTCAAGCTACTAAGTTAATATTATTAAATTATGGAAGAAAATGAATCATTACTAGCCTCAAGTTCATGATATGACCTTACAGCTAAATTGAATCCCGGCAGTTCAGATAATAAGCCTATTTTAAGATGGCCTAATACAATATGAATTGTGCTATAACTTGTTTCTGAAAATTGCACATGGATTGATTAGAATATGGGTTAGAATGGTGTGACTTGTGCTAGACTAAATCATAAATTTTAGTTAGGGTAAAAAATAAAAACAAAGTATGAATTTGTAATAAGAGTGGTAGGTAAAATTACAATTAAGTTGTGTCTAATGATTAAACTAGTAGATATAATTATAAAGTTAAATTAATACAACCATAATACTGAATGTATTAATAATATATTTGGTACTATGAAGATGCTATTTTACTTTGATAAAATTTTAGATGTGAGAGTTTTCTGTGCATCAGAATTGCTCCAATTGACCTTTTTAAAAAAGTGAATTATGAACACTAAAGTATCAGGGCCTTGCAATGTTAACTTATAAAGTAGTTTCAATTCTTATGGTTGACTTTGGTAAACTACTTATTAATTTAATTCAGTTTTTCTCTGTAATATACTCTTCATCACAGTTAATACCAACTTTCTATCACTTTATACAGTTCTGAAGTTGAGACCATGACAGCCCACAAGATTGTTAATTTAGTTCTTTAACATCTCTCTCACCTATATGTGCCATGTATATATATGGATATGTATTTTATTTCTAGTATCTCTACCTCTGTATTTTTTCTTTATAATATATTTATTTTCTGGATCTCTTGTTCTGACATGCACATTTAAAGGAATCCTAACATTTGACTCACAATTTTTGATGATTTGCAGAATATTTCATTGCTGGCTCACATTTTCATTTATGTCATTTGCCATCATTTATACATACAAAACATGTGATTGAGGAACTTCAATTTGCTGCAAAGTGAGCAGAACTCAATACATGGAAAAGCTAGCCAGTCATTTACAATCTGATTACAAGACCAAAGAGACAGACTCTTGCTTGGAATAAGCTGGTATGATATGATTGTAGGAACATGTTTGCGCTGAATACTTTCTTTTTCTTTTTTCCATACTAGACATTGAATTCTGGGCTTTTGAATTGAGCTTTACAACCTTAGGTGACTGTAATCATTTACTTACGTGTGTGTGTGTGTGTGTGTGTGTGTGTGTGCACGCACATGTGCCTGTGTGTGCATGTGGGTATATTAGACATGGTGTCAGTAAGTCGTTAAGCTGCCCAGGCTGGGATCGTACTTGAAATCATCCTGCTTACACTCGGAGAAGGCTGAAATTACAGGTCTGTACTGCACTTAACTCTAATGAACATTTAAGAGGTATATAGTCTAAATTAGAATGCATTATAGTTGTGAAATGTGCAGTGGATTTCAAATGCTTACGACACAAAAAATTAAAATGTGTAAAATTAACTCTTTCTGAGTTATGTCCTCATATGTAATGCATGGTTTCAGTCCATACCTCTGCTCTGTGAGGTTCACACCTCTGTTCTCAGACTTAATATTTACTTACTTATATTCCAATCTCTCCACAGTGGTTCATATGTAATGTTTTACAGTATATTTATTTTGCAACATTAACAGTTGTGCTTGGCAGTTATTAGATTCTTAAAAAAAATTAATCAAATTTTATTTTCTAATAAGTAGTGCTTATTTCACATGTAAGTGATATAGACATGTTGTAAAAATTTTATAAATAATTTATTTTTCTAGTTTAGGAGATATTTTTACAATCAGTATCATTTCTAGATATCTCTATGTTTTCTTTTTATCTAGACAGTAGTTACAATGTTTTCTCTAATTGCTGAAGAAACTCTCATACCAAACTAATTTCAATTCCGTACATTGTGTCATCTTCTGTGTGTCAGCTTCTATTTTAAGTGGCACAAATAGGCGGCAAATGAAGAAAACAACCCTGTTTCCAAGTATTACATTTGAGATAGAGCATGCAGAAAAAGCAAGAAAAAATAATTTAACTCAGAAATGCATCAACAACAATAAAGTTAACCTTAGCTTTAGGTGATATGATGAAGGAAGACATCTGTGATAAACTGAATTTTAAACTGAGAAATCTGCTGAAAAGGAACAGAAATACAATGATATCATTAAAGTTCCTAGCTGAAAGAGGAAGGTATAGGGGACCTGAATCATTAATAGAGCTGGCCTGAATGAGGAACACCATGGAAACCAGTACAACTTGAGTAGCATTAAGTGATTATGAGTAGAATAGTGGACAAGGTCAAATAAATGGGCCAGCACAGCTCATGGACGGGCCTATGCCTCAGGTGAGCATTTGAATATACTTTGTAAGGGCAATATAATATTGTTCCTATTTTTGACACATTTGAAAATATAACATTTAAAATGTGTTATTCCATTGCATAAAGGATGAATTTTAGCAGGTGTGATTTGTTAAAATCAAGGAGATCATTTAGAAATTCTTTTAGTAAAACAAAGGCAGAAGGTGATGATTGAAAAAAAAAAAACATTTTCAGTGGAGATGAAATTCAGACAGTGTAAGTTTTTACGCAGTTTAAACCTTTGCCCTATATTTTGGTCCCACTATGTATTAACCAAAGAATCTTGTTTTCATTGAATATATTTACACTTTTCTAAGGTAGATTTATACTAAATTATATTTTTCTATGCATTTTTGGTAACCTTAGACAAGTAACTATGAAGAATGAAATACTAAGACTGATAAATTATTTTCTAAGCATCAAATTGTTAATTAATTGGGATAGAATTCCTCATTTTGAAACTATAGCACCACTTTTAATGCATAATATCACCTCTCCTTTACTAAAGAACCTATCAGATGAACAAATTTAAATTTAATTGTGGCTTGTGTAAAGATGCCTTCCCAGATCTCATGCAGTCATTGGTGGGGCTTTTTCAGAGGTGACTGGATCTAGAGTGCGGGATGCTGGAATTGATTCACGGTGCATTGCTAGGGCACTAGGATTAAGGGTGTGAGTGCCACTCATCCTATTTTGTCCTGGATGAGATATAAGGGATAGAAAGAGCTATGGGTGTCCCTTCTTGCTTTTCTACCTGAACCCTTCCATGAACTGTTTTTCCTCCCCGGTGCCTGTTGACATGACACCTCCCTTGGAGCCAGCCAATTACAGACTCAAATCTTTTAACTGTGGGCTAAAGGTATGTTTCCTCCTTTATTTGGCTGCTGAGTATTTTCTCTCAGCAACAAGTACAGTAACTAAGACACTAATGAGCAGGTTTAAATTAATACTGATTTATAGATACAGAAATGCACATTCGCACATTACATGCATACCTTGTAAAATAAAGAAAAGATGTGATCTAGGTCATTCTCATCTGAATCCCTGCCATCCCCTTAAATGTGTCACTCATGGCTTGCCATTGTTATAGGATTCTGGGGCATTCAGTTCGCACAGTGCAAGGAGATCATTAAGCTTAGACCCCTTCAGTTTGCAAGCTCTTCCTCAAGAGTTCAAGTTTCACTACTTCCCTTCTTTACCCTTCTTTAGCATCCTCAGAGGTTGGATCCTTCATCTCTGCTCTAAACTCAATCCGCATAATAATACATTGCTGAAGCTTATAAATTTCTTTGAATTTGTTTTCCCCACAGACACAAAATGCCCTCTTTTGCCTCTCTCACCTAATTATATGTCTTCTCCATCAAATCTTAATGTTTTAGGAACATATCTATATCAAATATTCCTACACTTTGTGGTGACATGTGTCTCTGCTGGGCTGCTAGGGGTCCTTAAACAAGTCTATGCCATAGTTGTCTGCACAATGTCACTGTTTGGAGCCTCCTGTGTCCGTGTGTGCATGTGTGCATGCACGTGTGTGTATGTGTGTGTGTGTAAACAATGTTGAATGATTAAATGGACCATGGTTTTGTCAAGAAATATGACATATATTTATTAACGACAATAGAAGTGGATATAATAATAAGAATAGCTCAATAAGAATTGATTTTAAAACATTGTGTCATATAGAAGTTAACTACAATGCCCTCACTTTAGCTACTTTTATTACTCTTCTTCTTTGTGGAGACAAAAATAACTTTTGATCAAACTTAAAAATCATAATTAAATCACTTTGAGTAGCTGTCTCCTCAGAAAGTTTTTTCAAGTCATTATGTAAGCCTTACTAATGCAAAAGGAATAACAATATATATTTGAAGTTTCAAATATTATTTGGTAAAATAAATCATTTTCATCATTAAGATCACAGGCCCCATATGTGTTTATTTCTAATCAGTTTTATTTTAATTGAGTTTATCTGAAATCTATCTTCTTATTCTTAATAGTGTATTGAATTTTTCATCTGCCATTTGACCTGTTACCAAAGGAAATATATCTGCTTGCTCACCTATGAATTTAATATTAAAATTTGTCACAACAGTAAATTTTAACAGAGATTTGAGAGTTAAGAAGAAATGGTGAAATACAGTTTGAGGACAAATCCTTAAAATGAAGACTTTCCAGTGACCTTTTATTGATATATTGTAATTCCTCTTTGTCCTCCATCTATGAATAAATTTCAAATTTTCAAGTTATTAAGTTATTTAAGCAATTGATTTGGGTAATTTCATGTTTCACTAGTTTTATGACACAAAAGTTTTACAGTTCACTGTCATCTATCATTAAATTTTTTCATCCAGTCATTTCTAACATAAATGCATGATAGAATATTTTCTTGCTGAATTCTCCTGTCAAGTTTGAAAAGTCAGTTCAAAGAGCTATAGCTGGGAAATGGGAGCATAATTTCTTATATAAATTATGACAGCTTATTAGAAATGTGGAAATTTTAATGTATAAGCACCTTATCTAATATCATATGCCTTTGTGCTGCCAAGAAATAATTATCAGAGGAAATATTTTCCTTTATATTTTTCTATTTTGTATTCTTTGAACAAGTATTGCATGGACAGTTTACGAACTAGCTTAGAAATAAAGTTTATCAGAGCAACAGTGGAAGTTTGGACACTAAAAAGAAAGAAGAATATAACAATTAATGTTGGAAGCAGTGAAAGAAAAATTATTTGCCAAACAGAGGGCTCGATCCACTGCACGATATATTGAATCTCTGAGTTGTTAAAAAAATTGACCATTTGTCACTTACTAACAAGATCTAGCAGTTCTTTAATTTTTCACGTGCCCAGTTTGTCTACAAGCTAACAGATGACAAATTATCATTGTGATTATATATTTTTAAAATTACACGAGACAAATAGTATATTGGAGAAGTTAGTTAATTTATACTGTCAGTAGAGTCACTAATTTGAAGAAAAAAGTCAATCTGAACCCAGTAATTATGTTTTATACCTTAAGCCACAAACTCCAATTTACAGATAATCCTGAAAATATTTTAAAATTCTCTTTAAAATCTAAAATTTTGAATAAAGTAAAATAAAGAAACAAACATAAAATAGTTCCAATTTTTCAGAGTAGGTGAAACTTGGAAACAGATTTAACAAAACACTCACTAAAAACTAAGAACTGCTTCAGAAAGTGACGAGAATGGTGGAAGAAATATGTTTAAAGGAAAGGAGAGAGTTTAATGGGAATTAATGTTTATGTGCTTTTTACAGTGATAGTTTTACAAATTTAAATGTATACCTTATTTGTTGATTATATTATGTACACTAAAATTAATAAACAATTTGAGGGATCCACAGGGAATAATAAAATGAATTTTGTTTTTCAATTATATTCATTGGATATTTATATTCAATTGTATTCCTCTGTAGAGATGTTAAATGCAGAGCTACAACACAATTTTCAAAATTTTTGTTGATTTTATGAATAAGACAAGTTATCTTCACTAAACACAAATAGCAAAATCTTAATAATTCAAAGCAAAGCAAATGTTTTCAAATGCAAAGTTTTAAGTGATAAATCAAAAAAGGATCAAATTATACTTTTAATAAGATATTAACAAAACATTATTAAATTTTTTGCCAAAAGGGAAACTTTTCTTTGATCTTTGTCTGTAAATCTTACCATATATTTTAAATAGCTACTGAATATTTCATTATAATTAAATGTCATTCTAGATAGCATGTTTTACTGATTAGCATGAAACACACTCTAGATTGAGAAAACTCCATATTCTTTTGAATGACCTTATAGCTTATAACCTTTTGATATTTTTGGTTACTAGCCTATTATACAGTTTTATAAACTTTAATTAAAAAGTTGAGCAATTCGTAGTCTTCCTTTGATGGTGAAGATACATGATATACTATACTACTTTGATCACCTTTTATCTAAAATTCAAAATTATAACATGATTTTTGTAAGGAAATTTATCTCTCCTTTATGCATTCTTTTAACTGCAGCCAACAGTACAACACACAGAAACACACACAAGCCACACATTTGCCAAGTATGTCCTGCTATTTTATTTGTCTTCACATTGTTAGCATTTGTGTGTGTGTGTGTGTGTGTGTGTGTGTGTGTGTGTGTGTATTTTACCAGGAGTCACTAGAGTAAAATTATATGGAGAATGTATAATTTGCTTGCATTCACTTTTCTTCATCTATTCTATTAATGGAACAGTTCATGGATATGACTATGTAGTAATTAATGTGGAAAGATACAATAGATTTACTAATCTTCAGGATAATATTGTCAACTCACTGACCTATAAGCAATGCATTTATTATCATCCCCATGTTAAAGACTACCTTTATATTTCTGTTTTTCCCTTGGTTTGAAGTAGAGCGTCAGCAAAGTCTAATGCAGGGGAAAGTCTAACATAAAGCAACTTATTTGGGAATACTAGTTATTGATCTTGAGCTACTTGAACTGCCTCTGAAATGTTATATCTCTTTTGCTCTAACCAGTGCCACATACTTTTTTCTTTTTCTTTTTTTCTTTCTAGAGAAACAAGACATTTGGTTAGAAAAAACATTAATTTTTAGAATGTAATAATGTACGATTACAAAAATCTTCACTGCTATCTACTAATTTTGACTTTATACTTGGAAATAGTGTAGTTTTGCTTTGAATTGATAATTTGGTTGATTTTGACTTTAGAGTCTTTGATTATGGTGAGGAACAGAATATCAAAATATCATACTTAAATAAATTTAGACTATTTAATGTGATTGAAACCCTCTTTGAGTACACAGTTGACCAATTTTCAAGGGTGCAGTAGTCTGTATTTACCTGAATTTTTACAACTATAAAATAATTTAATCATTTGCAGTAACTATAAAGAGCAAATATAATTTTTCTAAATATAAAATATCATTATAACATACAGAAGTAAATATTATATTGCTATAAAAATACAAAAATATATTTATGAATATTTTGGGACCTAAAGTATAACTTATAAAGTCATGGGATGTTTATACTGTTTTTTACTTTGTATATAGTGTGTATTCTTCAAAAGGAATAGCAAATTATTGACCAGTTACATAAATTGTGCAATCAATGCATAACTATTAATAAAAGCATAATATCAACTATTCAACAAGGTCAATTTTGTACTTTGTAGTAGGAAACCCAGAAGGTAATAATAAATATCACAATGAAACATCATCAGTAGAAAAATGTTAGAAAGTTTTAAAATTCTACATTTTTAAATATATTCTAAGTATAAAATTTCAATGATAAAAAATTTCTTGACAAAAATGAATCCAGAATAACTGAATAGATAAATGGACTCTTCGATGGTATATAGACTGCAGTGTCCTCTGATTAAATGTATGTGACAGCACCGAGTGTAGTTTGGTTATTGCATTTACTTTCAGAGTGCTTCCAGTTCTTACAATAATCACTAGTTTTGCATTCTCAAAAATGAACCCTGAAGAATGACTACAGTGTTCGTCATTTTGTTTTATGGTACTCATGGCCTTATGGCATTTGTTCTCCCTTCGGGAGTTTGAAGTTAGTAGAAAACATTTAACAAGGAATTGCATCCAAGGTCCGTTAAAGGCACTAGATTTTATACTTTGCCCTTTTTTTCTTCAGCATTCACACTTTGCCTAGCATATTTTTAGAGTTAGGAGAAATTCATGGAGAATCAGCCTAAAAATATTTATTTTAATACTGTAAAATTTAAATGAACTTCCAGTCACTTCCCAAATGTGTTACAGGAAAATTTGGATAAGACTGAATCTATAAAACAAAAGATTGAAGGGGGGAAGCAGAGAAATCAATAGTAAAAAAATAACTAATTGAGTCTTTTACATGTATCACCTCCTCATGATGAATTTAATCATTTTATAAAGACTTTGTGCATACATATGCACATTTGTAAATATACAAACACATTAACTTGTTTGTATTTATCTTAATTAACAAGATATTTTTGTAATCAATTTTAATAAACTATTTCTTAGAAAAACACAAAAATTAAATGAAAGTTACAAATTCTTGAAAGCTTTTCTCATCATATTTATACAATCTTTATACTATTAATATGCCTCACCAGAGCATTATATCTGTAGATGTTTATGAAACTATGTATATAAACCATTATTACTATATCTACAACTTACTTTTGAATTCATTCTGGAAGTTGTATATTCTAAAGATTAAGACAATATATGACCATATACACTTCATCAGAACTCAATATTTTATCACCCTAAATATCCTTTGCTGGCTAAGTATCCCTCTCCCTCAAGCTCTAATCATTTCTGAAAACCATTAATCATTTTACTGTCCTTGCAGATTTCAGTATTCCACAAAGTCATAGAGTTGGAATTAGTATGTTGACATATCTGTTTGAGTACTCCAGAGGAACAGCATAAGTAGAAAATACAAACACTTATTCAAGAGGATTTTTTTAGTAAGGTTACAGAATGAGAAGCAGAAAAGTCCACAGTGATTATCTGTGTGAGGGAGAACTGGAAGATACAGAAGTTGTTCAACCCAGGATGATGGACAAGAAGGATCAAGGACACAGCACCAGTCCAAGATCAAAAGCCTGGAAACTGACTAGCGTGACATCTGTGTAAGTCTGCACTGGAAGGCTGAAGAAAGTAGAAACCGACAACCAAAGGTGATGGGAATCTTAGAGCTCTTCCAAACATGTGACTATAAGCATTTTTAAATGCATGTTGTCATTTATCATTGTGTTTGTTGAGACTTTTGCTCAAGTCTTTTGCCTATTTTTGCAATCAGAATTTTTTTCTTACTGTTATTATAAAGGAGTGCTTGCACATTTTGGAATATTGCTTTCATTAGAGGTTTACTGAAGAAACATTTTCTCTCAGTCTGTGGGGTTGTGGCTTCATTTTCTTATTGTTGTCTTTTGCATGGCTGGAGCTTTCAGTTTTAATAAAGTGAGTGTTTTCAACTATTTTTTAATATCTTTGTTATTAGAGATATCATCAAAAAGTCACCTAGGCTTTCTTTTAGGTTATCCTCCATGAGTTTTACAGTTTTGAAGTCTATTTTTAAGAACATGGTCCACTTTGAGTTACTTTTTGTGAAGTTTATAAAGTTTATATCTACATTAATTTGTTTTGCAACCAGATGTCCAGTATTTTCATGGTCATTTATTTAAGTCTCCCTACTTTGTATGTGTTTTACCAATACACAGTTGATTATATTTCTGTGTTGCTATTTATGGGCTCACTATTGCATTCATTTATCTCTTTGCTTATTGTCTTGGTTACTTTTACTCATTGCTGAGACAAAATATCCCACAAAGTGGGAAAGGAAAGATTTTTTTTTACAGTTTTTGGTGGTTTCAGTCCATACTCAGTTGGCTCCAAGGCAGGGTGGCATGGCATAGCCGCAGTTCATGGAGGCTGCAAACAGCAAGGCTGAAACCAGCAAAAGAGCCTGACACACCTTCTTCCTGTCATTACATCACATCCTGGCTCCACCCCTCTGTGGGTGGAGCACTCAGACCATCAATCCAAGCACTAGACAATGAACCAATCACAAATGCACGATGCAAACTCATAAGGCCTGGGGGACACAACATACACCATGACACTTCCTCTTTCACCAGTATCACGTTATTCTGAACACTTTTTCTTGATAGTTACATTTAATTATTAACAACTTTTTAAAAAAAATTTTTAAATTGTAAGTAGGCAGATTAAATCTCAAATTGCTTCACCAACCCATTAAAGTATCTAAAATTACCCGCAGCTTCTATTAAAATGCATATTTATTTTGAGAAGCCTCATTGTAGATTTAGTACTGTGCATTGTAGATAAGCACAGGATGATGGTTCCTAGATCATATTTTTAAAAATAAACCAAAATAGCAAACTAACTTTGAGGCTGTTTAACCAGTGATTCTAGAAAATGTTCTTCTCTATTATACACATATATACTTTTTAATAAAAAGGATAGTCTCTAAAACTTTTAATAAAATAAACACATCATCTCAAATAATCATATATCTATATTTTTACTTGATTTAAAACATATTAATATATGTTTTATATATAAATGATTCTTAACAGATGAACAAAGCTCCTGTAGTCAGACTTTATTTTGGAAGTCATTGTGGTCAAATAGCATGTTCTTTGATTTAAACAGTATTTTATTAAGCTTATTTAAATTTTATGTATATAAAATTGCTATCATTTTTTATGTAAGCCCTGGGATTTCCTAATAATACATTTTGTCTACTTGGTAATAATTTATCAACGAGTAAAAATTATTACAATAATTTTTAGTATAATGAAATATTTGTCAACCTCTTGGGTTTCATAGATCTAGTAAATCATTTTCAGGAATATATAAAACTTATTAAAGTAAACACTAAAAGTAAGCAGTCTCAATACAAAACTAGAAAGGAAGAAAAGAAACCTAGAAAATGGATTAGGAGGGTAAAGGTCTAGTTTTTAATTTTAACTGGAAAAATCATAGAAAATTAGATTTATAAAACTATATAGAAATTTTACCAACTTATTTCTTGCATCTGATTGCATTATTGTGTTTTCAAGAAACATCATTTTCAAATTAACCTCCATTAAATCTCAAAGTATCCACTTGTTTTCAGTGACTTCATAGCTTTTCATGTCCTCCATTTTTTGTGTTTGAGTGTTGTAAACTATGATGAATTGGAAAAGATTGATTTCACTGCACATTAGATATTACTTGACTAAAAAAATTATATGTAATTAGGATGTTTAATGTAGCTGTTTTCAAATGGTTGGTAGATGTAGTTCCCTTCATCAGAATGATTAAACTTGCTTCTTCAGAAAAAAGATGTAGAGAGACGGCGACATGAACTACAAAAGCTACTCGCAGAAATAATCCAGAAGAATTTTCCTAATTTAGCAAAAGGTAAAGATACTCAGATATATGAAGCATTCAGGACCCCAGCCACCTACAACCCAAACAGAGCTACACCCAGGCATATAATAATCAAAATACCAGAAATCCAATATAAGAACAGAATATTAAAAGCTGTCAGAGACAAGAAACAGATCACTTACAAGGGTACACCCATCAGAATTACAGCAGACTTCTCAGCACAAACCATCAAATCATGAAGAGCGTGGGGGGAAATAATTCAAGCTTTGAAAGATAATAACCTCCAGCCAAGATTGAAATGTCCTGCACAACTATCCCTGGAAATTGATGGAAAAACAAGGTGCTTCCAGGATAAAGAGGAACTAGGGGAATATGCAACCACCAATCCAACTTTACAGAGAATACTGCAGGATATTCTAAAAAAGGAAAATACCAAGATTCCAGAAATAGTGGCAGAGAGGCCACAATGAATGGAGCAGAAAGCGAAATGAAGAAGACAAACTTACAACAAATGACAGAAAAAGAGCTCAACAGAAATGAGGCAGAGAAGACTGGATGATAGGAACAGCTATTTTGGAGAAAACGACATCATAATAGGTAATGCTGATTTAGTATCATCTTGTTTTGAAGTCTCATCAAGCTTTTGCTCTTCTGTCTCCATTGGTCTTAGCATGTTGTATCTTATTGGATTTATTATATGTGATAGTATAAACAAAAACCTTTATAGACAAGGAGATTATACAGAAACCGTTGTTCATTTTCTGTTAGTTGATTCTAAATACCCTGTAATACTGTCGTTCTCTTGAATGGTTTTACATTGTTTTGATATATTTGATGCTACAGTATATGAAGTTATACTCAAGGATTTCAAGGAAAGAGACAATATGGTAACTACATTTATGTCAGGATTATCTTGTGGTAAAACACTATTTTGCTTAAATGGTTATGTTTTTTTCTGCGCTGTTTGGTTGTTATGCCCTCTTTTATCTCAATCTCCATTTTATTATTTACTTTTTTATTTTTATCCTTTTAATTAATGGAAAAAATAAACTAAAAAATAGCAGGATATATTATAGTAATCCACTTTGATTTACTATTAACTTGATTTGAAGCCCTGTATTGCTCTCACCATCTTGTTTTGACTGATGTTCCTCTATTCTGTTTTGCTTGATAGTACGAGGTTCGAAAGTATAGGCAACAACTATGAGGATAGTGGGATTCATTATGACACCCATTCTGGTTGACTATTATCTACTTTTGAAGACCTGTAATGTCTCCAATGTTTTGGTTTTGTTGGTTTCGTTCTTTACTGTTTTGTTCAATTTTATTATAACTGATGATTTGGGAATTCTATTAGAGATAGTGGGAGGCATTATGGTAACCATTGTTGATCACCTTGTATTATGTTTTTACATTATTTATTATGTCCACCCTTTTGATTTGACTGACTCTCTTCTTTTATGTCACATTTGATTTTACTCTCTTCTAAAAAGTAATAAGAACTGTGGGAGCAATAAAACCCAAAATGTGTAATAGTCATTGTACAAAGGAGAGGAAAAGAAAGTGCTCTAAACGATATAACTGCATGTATATTTAAGTGTATAAGATAGACAATGATATTACTGAGTTTTGTTGGATCATTGAACAGAACTATTTGGTCTCACTGTTTGAATGTCCACTATATAAGCTTTAATTTTGTAACTTGAACAAATATTTCTAAGATGACAATATGTAATTCATTAACTAGTGATTTCCTACTGTTTATTATTTTTCTGAAATTCTGTATAACTTGTACCCTTTCTTTGCTTTTTTTTCTTTTTCTCCTTAAATAAAATTTTTAAAAAAGATGTAGAAATGATCTGTTCATATCAAAACAGTGTCAGAGGTCCTACAGTGTTCTCATTATGAACACATGCAAGCTAAATGTCACTGTTTCATTATGTATCAGCCCGGTCAAAGACAAGGAAAAGTACTATTATATGACCCGTGGCAACAGGACAAACTGGAGATTCCACTTTTGTATCCAGAAACTTACCATCTTCAGGATCCTCAGGGATTTGAAGATACATGATCCATCTGGCCACTAAATGTGTTTCTTTCACGTGATGGCAAAGCTATTATCTTGGGAACTCATGGTCCCAGAATTTCCCAAAAAGACAACATGGAGTAAAATCTACCAATTCAGTGGTTTCCCTTATCTTATTCTCATTTTCTCATTTCTAAGGACGTGGCTTAGAATATAGAAGACTCAACCCCTTGCTCATTATTGTGACATTCTGCCCATTCCCCATACTTCTCTAGTCTGGAAAAAACATTTCTCCTTTTTCCTTCTCTATACTCATTAGGTATACCTGACTTCTGTACAACATATAATCTCCACACTGCTAAGAAAGGGTGAAAACAGACAGCATAATTTCTTTAACATGTCAAAATATCATTTCTTTTTGTATAACAAATACAACAGATACAACATTTCCTTGTGAATATATAAGACTTCCCAGGAAACTTCAATAAAAGCTTAAGTGCTTTGATATAATTGCATACTGTATTTTAAGTAAGTTATTTTGCCCTCAAAATTTTAGCAGAAGAGACAAAAAGCATAAACATTCTGGCTTATCTTGTTTGACTGCAGAATTTCAAGTTTCTCATTTATCACTGTAAAGCAAGGACAATTTTATGACTTTTCTGTATGACCTGCAACAATCAGCTACATACGTAGCTGTACATCACTCTTAAAAAAAGATTCTTCAATATTTTTCCCTTTAAGTCAAGGGCCTTGTTTCTTCAATAAACTTCTTGTTCAAAATGAAAAACTATAAAATAATAAAACCTTGTTTATTTAGCAATATTTTAGTTTTCAAGCAGGTTTAAAATGTGGCCTTTTGAAAACTAAGTGTGAGGTTATATGTTTTTCTTCTTAATTTTAAATTCCTTTAATAAAAACCTTACAAATAGTTCCAGAAAAAAGTCTACTGACAGTTTTAGTAAAAAGTGCTTTTCATGTTGCATTAGTAAATTTCAGTACTTTAAATTTTATGTTTTTAAAACTGATTTGAATTATTTTTAATACTGTTAACTGATATTTTAGGAGGCCAAAGTAATATAAATAAGTTAATGTATTTTGTAAAACTATTTGTTCAGTATAGACAATATTTTATCAGCACAGAAGTCAGAAATGATAAAATTGTTGAACTATACCACAAAATCCTTGTTATTAGACACATAGATCAAATACAGAAACACACTTAAACATTTATGTATTTAAAATGGAGAATTTATTCAGCTTTGATGAGGTCAGTAGTTAAGGAAATTAATGGTATTGAATAAATAGTATTCAAAAGAAAAAGGAGAACTGTAATCTCTGGAGAACTGCACAAGAAAGTACCAGGCTTAGTAAAGTAGCAGAATAAGTGATGACAAAGTCATGGATAAGAAAATTTACTGTGATTTTTTTGAGAAAGTGAAGATGAGACGAGGCAGGGGCACTGGATGAAGGATTGTTCCATGTGAAACAAGCCCAGGGCTTTGGTATGTAGAAATTCTCTAATTGCTGGCCCTGGATTGTAGGAAAAGCAGGAAGATATTATTTCAACCTGTGTGAGCTGAATAAAGGGCATAGTTCACTATACAGGATTTGGATTTTTTGGTTTGCATATATTTCCATGACAGTCATTTGGTATTGTAGGAAGTAAGTATCTCTTCAAGGAGCAGTATTTCCAGGATTATTATATGTGTGATTACTGGGAAAGGATAGATAATCATAACATTAGCTAACTCCTATGTGACATATAATAAAATCAAGTAATACATATAAGTTACATAATAAATATATTATAATGCTTTATGCATTTAGTAATATGTAATGTTTCATTACACATTCACAGGGTTATAATTACTCATTTTAAGACCAACGGCTTCCTTCCATTTGTATTTTATTCAAATACACTGTTTGTCAGTTTCCATCATTGTGACAAAATATTTACGTTAAAAATGTAGTTAAAAATTAGAGTCTTACATCAGTTGATAGCATCAAAGATTTCAGTCCATATTCAATTGGCTCTGTTGATATAGGGCTGTGGTGGTGCAATACACCTTGGAAAAACATGTGGCAGAGAGGTATGTTCAGTTCATGGCATCTAGAAATCAAAGAGAAAAAGTGGAGGGTTTTAGAATTACATATCCCCTTTAAGGCACTTCTGCTAATATCTAACTTCTGATGCCACCATTTAAAGTTACAGGGCGTCCTAAGTCACAGCCTTTAATGCATGAGCCATTGAGGGACATTTAAGATATAAACTAAAGCATACACTATAAAAATATTTTAAAATGGCTTCTTATGTTGAATTATATATATATATATATATATAACATATATGTTGTCCATATGCTTTGAAGTTTATATACATTATGAAATAAAAAAATCTAGCTAATTAGCTAGATTTCATTTCATTTCATTATCATTTTTGTGATGAGAACATGATCAATTCAATTGTATTTGTTTCATATGGAATTGAGTAGACAAAATTCAGAAATAAAGTGAGTAGTCATTACAAAAGTGTACTTTTTCTGAGTGAAAAAATGTAAAATGATTGTATTTGAGCACACCAGGCATAATAATTTTGTACTTTAAATAGGTGGTATTTAACATTTTGCTCACTAGGAAGCATTTAGGAGTCCTTACAAAGTTCAGAATTAGGTGAAATTGCAGACACAGTACTATTGATATTTCAAAAGCTCAAGAAACCATTTTGATATTAAACTACAATTAGAATTTTCATTATAAGACACTTTTTTGATTATAAGACAATAAAATCATTAAATCAGTACAATAGAAATCATTAAATCAGTAAGAAATCAGTACAATAAAAATCATTAAAAGTAAATTTTTCCATTAATGAAAGTTGAAATAATAATATAGTTCTAACTGAGGGCTCAAATATATTTCTATATATAGCCCTATAATTAAAATGCTGAGGTATTCTTCTGCTTTCTGAAACAGAGGATTCCAAGTTCTAATTAGGATAACAGTAATTAAATTATTGATTCAAAATCTTTGTGTATTCATGCCTTAATTGTCATTTTTTAAACTTGAACTTTAAGCCAATTGACAATGTTTATGAAAAGTTTCATTTTACTAATTTTATTGCAATGTAAATACAGGAAAAAAGTAATACATTATTACAATAACCATCGAAAGGTTAACTCATTAATTAAAAATACTAACAATCCTTACTCTTGCTTCAATTGATTTTCAAACATTTCTTCCACAAAAATAACTTTTCATTATGCACTGTGATATAGCCAATGATTTGTGTATAAACATTGACAAAATGAGTGCTAGAGGTTCAGTATGAAAATTAACGGTATGTGAACAGCGGAGGTGGTCATTTATAAGTGTCCTTCAGATGGCTCCTGGGAGCATCACCAATTACTCTTCTTCCTCCTCTTCCACAGCAGGGCCAGCAGAGCCCCCTGAGTATGGAAAGCCAGCAGGCCGGAACTCAAACAGGGTCATGGTGACCCATTGCCACCCACAGTGCTGCGCATGGTGCTGGAGGCCCTACAGGCAAGAGAGCAGCGCTGGGGCACCTCAGTGGCAGCCATCAAGCTCTACATCCTGCACAAGTACCCCACAGTCGATGTCACCTGCTTCAAGTACCTACTGAAGCAGGCCCTTGCCACAGGCATGAGCCGTGGCCTCCTTGCCAGGCCCATCAACTCCAAGGCCAGGGGTGCCACTGGCAGCTTCAAGCTTGTCCCCAAGCATCAGAAGAAGCCGCAGTGCAGCAGGAAAAGTACTCAGACAGGGCCTGCTGGCTCCAGCAAGAAAAAGATTGCAGAACCATGTGAAGCAAGAGCTTCCTGCAAACAGGGCAAAGCCCTAGAGACAGCCCCTCAGGGAGGCTGCAAGGCGAAAGGCACTGGGCCACAGCAGGTTGTAGCCAAGAAGGACCCCCCAAAGTCAACTGGGGCTTCCTCAACTGTCCACAAGCTTGGCAGGAAGCCCAAGGTCTCAGGCAGCAGGAGCAGGCAAGAAGACACAGGAGCCCCTGGGAAAACTTCAACTGCAGCCTCCAAGCCTGGAAAATGTGCTGCCTCCCTGAAGGGTACAAAACCCGCAGTGAAGGCCGCCCCAGGGCCTGGACCCAAAGTCATTGCTGCCCCCAAAGCCGCCACTGCTTCCAAGGCTGGTGCCCCCAGGACCAGGACTCTGTCTCCAGCCAGGAAGGCTGGGGGCCCCAAGAACCCCAGGCCACTGGTCAAGAGGTCATAGTTATTGTACTCAGAGCTCAGCAGCTATAGGCCGGTGGGACTGTGGGTGGCTGGGCTGGAGTTTTTATTCCTCCAAATCGTTGCACTACTAATTTAACCCTAACTTATTTCTCAAATCATGACCTAGATATCAATAAAGACACTGATGTATCACCAAAAAAAAAAAAAAAGAAAATTAACATTACAAAAGTCACATATGTTAACTTAAAATAATAAAATGAATTTGGAAGTACACATATAAGACTGTATTAACATGCTCAGATTCCAAATATTTTTCATACAAATTTTGATAAGTTTGACATGTAAAATAGGAGTCTGCTATCTCATATTTCAAGTTATTTTTCCTCCACAATAGTGATCGTGGATTTTAAATCACATCTAAGTCTAATCTATTAATACCACCTGACAAGCTGAATCAATATCACTACCGTTTTGTGACCCACAGTGAATTGATCTGCAACTGATAACTCCCTGACTTTTGTGGCTCAGAATGATGCAATTCCCCCATGAATTTTTCATTCATTCATACCAAAATGCAACACAATACTTCCTATATTCCACTAAATGAGAAACTTAGATTCAACATTCTATTCTAACAATCAGAAAAAAAAAATAACTGAAGGAAGTGGACAAGCTCTATCTGTTACCAGATTGAGAACTGTAAAAGAAGTGAAAGCACAGGACAACGAATTTGTCCTCAGCACACTTAGAGAGCCAGGTGAATACAGACAACCCAATGAGTTACTTCAGGATCCTACAAATGTGGCCAAATGTCAGGGTAAGAAACTGTGAATTGAAGTTGAAGAATTTTTGGAAGTTCAGTGTAATTCTGAGAATTAAAATACTCAATGAGATTTAGCCACAATACTTTTGTGTTTTACCTAAACAAGTCTCACCTGGTTCCTATAGTAAATACAAGAGAGAAACTCTATTGTAGATTTAAAGATAGAAAAAGAATTATTTTGACCAGCATTTTCTGTACCCAACAAAGTTTTCTCAGTATAAATTATTTTACAAAAACTGAACTGCTTGGGTTTTTTCAAAGCTTTACTGATATGACATAAACAAAATATCTCCCTCCAATCTTCCATGTGACAAAAGAAAAATACTGACCCTTGCTTTTGTTTTTATTCTAGCCATTTTATTTCACTTCACGAATCCATGGTGGTGGTTAAGGACTTATGTAATGTAAAGGTTACATGCATAGCTTCACCAAAAGATAAGCGAGATATAAGACTGTAAAGTGTTTTCCTTCCTGCCCCTGCCTATAAGCCATTCAGAGTGCAGGTGGGGAGAGCTGAGATGGAAGCAAAGGCCCTGCCTGTGAGCCAGCTGCTGCATGGGGTGGGGTGAGGAGTACAGCTTCCCCTATGAGCAGCAAGCTGACTCGGAGGCACTGTTGTTTGACTGACTTAGCAAGCCTAAACCAAGCAACTATTTAGAGGACAACAGTATGTAATATAGTAACTGTGGTACATTTCCTACTGTCTTATCACTGTTTAGATGCATTTTATTGCTGTTTTATTCCCCTTAAATTTAAAGATAAGGAAAAACTGAAGGAATTAGTGGGATCCAAAATGTACAATAGATATTGTGAAGGTGAAAGGGGAGGAAATGTCTAAAAAGGGAAGGTGGTAGCTATAGTTAATTTCCTATTAACTTGTTTTGAAGTTCTGCATCATTTTCATTGTTTGGTTTGGTTTCATTTTATTCTGTTTGTTTTGTTAGATTCTATTGTGTCAGGTTGTATGGGAAATTATTTCTACGATAAAAAGATATATTATGGTAGCCATTGTTCATCTCCTATTCTCTTGTTTTGAAGTCCTGTATCACTGTATTGTGTTTTTTGATTGCTTTTATTCTGTTGTTTTGCTTGATATTATTGTCTTATTGTATGTACAGCTGTTTTAAAGATAATATGAGATATTATGATAGTCGTTGATTATCTACTATCTTGTTTTGAAAGTCTGTATTGCTTTCATGGTTTTGTTTTGATTCGCTTTATTCTGTTTCATTTTGTTTTGCTTTGTTCTCTTTAAAGTAAAACCTTAAAAATCTCTCATTCATTAACATCTTGTTACTACATTGTCAAAGCCTTATTTTCAGTACTTCACACATTAAAATGTAAAATCACAGTTAGGAAGACAGAGTCAGACTCAGAAATAAGAGAGTCATTAGTATGATTAGAAAAGCAACGTAAGTCACTTATGATTAATGTGCAATAGGCTATACTGGATAAAGAAAACAATACACAGGACTAGGTGATCAGTGAAAAATGCAGTGAGTATGCTAAGACACAGCAAACAAGAAACATAAGACACTGAAAAACACTGTGATAGAAGCAATGTTCATTTGGTCTTAACTGGTAGACTGGACATTGATGAGAAGAAAAATTTTTAAGCTTCAGGATATTTCAGTATTAACTTCCCCAGTTAAAAGCAAGCAGAAATTAAACTAGAAAACATAACTTGAAATAAAGTAACAACGTTATTCAGTTAAACATAAAAGTTATAAATGTGCATAATATGAAAAAATGAGAAACATAAGAAATATAATAAACAGACAAAGACTGAAAATTCTCCCCAGTTAATATTGATATCAAGGGGCTGGGGATTTAGCTCAGCAGCATAAGTGCCTGGCTTGCAAGCAGGCAGTTCTGACTTCAATCGCTGGTACCTATAAAAACAGAAAAAGACCAAAAAAGAATATTGATATCAGGCCAGAGATTATGAAGCTCAAAGAACTCTAGTATGGATAAGTGCCAAAGAGAACTGTACTCAGAAATGTTACTTTTGAACTGTAGAAAACTAAAAATAAATATTTTGAAAGAAATCTGAATAAAAATGCAGAGACACAAACAGAAACACCATATTCAACTACTTAAAAATAGTCTAAAAGAAAATAGTAGACTAAAATTTTCAGATGTTTCTAAGATAAAAAGATCTGGAATTCGGTACCATGAAAAATTATCCTTCAAAAATAATGGAGAAATGTACACTTTCTCAGATAAAAAGAAATTGAAGTGTTTTCATTAGAAGATCTATCTTAAATTTCAAAGTTCTTTAGATAGAAGAAAATGATACACACAAGAAGTTGACATAGCAAAGTAACAGCACTGGAGAAAACAGTGAATGTAAACTAAAATGGTAAAGAAAGTACAACTGTTATACTAAGAAATAAAGTGTAAAAAATAAATTCAATACAGACACTAAAAGATGCACTAAGAATGAAAGACAAAAATAGGAAAAAAGAAAAATACACATTGCATAGATGAGAGGAAGACTATAGTAGATATCGCTATTATATCAACAAAAATATGAGTGTCAATAATTTAAAAGAACCATTAGAAAATAACAATCATCAGAGGGAATTAAAAATAAGACTCATTTATATTTATTAGAAACTATTTAAATATTGAGTCTAAGTGTATTAAAAAGTATATCTGTTATGTTATCCCTAATCAAAAGAGGACATAGCTTTGTTACCTTCAGACAATTTGATTTGAGAACAAAAAGATCATCAAGGACAAGCAGGAGCACCACATAGTGATAATGGTTCAAATCTCAAACTATGTGTAATAATCTTTAACCTCTTACCCTCCAAAACAATCTAAGGCAAAAGCAGACAGAATTACACAGGAAAAATTGACTTATTATAATATATTTTGACTTATACTATCTTATAACAGTGGGAAGATACAACAATCAAGAAAAAAAATAAAAACTCTTTGAATCAAAGAGTTTTTCCTTTGAAAGAATAAATAAAATAGATAATTTATAGGCAGATTTTAAATGAAAAAGAAAGAAAAGTCTTGCAGATAGAAACAAAAAGGTAACAATACAACACTGTCAAAATCCAGATGACACTAACTAGTTAGAAAAATTATATTTCAACAAATTAGCAAATTTTAAAGTAGTATTAGTTATAGATACCCAGACACATGCAAACTATGAAAACTGACCCAAGAATACATGATCATATTTAATAACCCAGTAACAAGCAATGAAATAGACACCATAATAAATAATCTATGAAATAAAATGTCGAAGACCTACTGGCTTCATGGTTGAGATACTAAAAAATCTTTAATCACATTGTGTCACTAATACTCTTCAAAATCTTCAATGATATGGAAAGACATTAATTGTTCCCAAATTCACTTATGGAAATTAATATCACACTGATCTCAAAGCTGCACAAAGACCAAATGAAAAAAGAAAACCATAGGTCAGCATCCTTAATGAACATAGATGCAGTAAAACTCAGTAAGGTATTAACAAGTAGGATGCAGCACATTATCAAAAAGATTATAGATTGTGATCAAGCAGTTTTCATCCCAGATGCATGGATAGTTCAACATACATAACTTAGTAAATGTTAGTACATCACATAAAGAGAAGCAAAGTAAAAAACCATATGATCATATAAGTAGATGTAGAAGAGGCTTTCAGTAATATACAAAATGGCTTCATGATGAAAAAAAAAGCTTGAAGAAAATAGGTATACGGTAACCATTCCTAAACATGATAAAAGCTATTTATGACACACTAACAGCCAGGATCTTGTTAAATGGGGAAAACCAAAACTATTCCTCCAAAAATCAGGAAGAAGACTGTTATGTTTATTACCACCACTTCTACTGAACATAGTACTTGACACTTTTTCAGGCATGAGAAACAAAGTGTATACATACAGGGAAAGAAAACCTCAAATTAACATTATTTGCAGATGACATGATACTCTGCATACAAGTATTTATGATACTCTACATACAAAACCCAAAGAATCTCACCAAAAAGCTCTTAGAATTAATAATTAACTTCAGCAATGTAGCAGGATATTGATCAACATACAAAAATCATTAACATTTGTATGTACCAATAAAGAATTTGGTGAGAAGGAAGTTATGAAAGAATTCCATTCACATTAGCTTCAAGAAAAATGATATACCTAAGAATTAATGTAACCATGGATGAAAGACCTCTACAAATAAAAATTCAGTCCCCTGAAAAAGGAGACAGAACAGGACACCAGGATGCAAAGATGTCCCCTGCTGTTGGATAGGCAGCACCAGTATTGTTAAAATAGTCATACTTTCTAAATTGTCATACAAATTCAGTGCCAACAGCATACTTTACAGACCGACATAAAAGAGTCTGAAATTCATATGGAGCCATGTTGGGAATATAGCTCACTGACACAGCTCCTGCCTGGCAAGCATGAGGTTATGACTTTGATTCCTGGTATAATAAATAAATAAATAAGGGACCAGATGATACCCAGAGTAGCAATAACAATTCTGGGAAACAAGAGCAAGCAACAGGCCTTGTGATGCCTGATTTAGGGCAATACCACAAAGCAGTAGTGGAAAAGGTCACACAGTAATGGAACAAGAACAGCTTCATAGATCAATAGACCAGAAAACAGGATGCAGAAACATCCCCACGAAGACATGGATGTTTAGAAAGGATTTTCTAAACAGCTTCAGTGGCATATGAAATAAAAGCAAGAATCAAGAAGTGGGAATATATCACACTAAAAAGCTTCTTACAGCAAAAGAATAAAGTGGAGAGACAACTTACAAAACAGCATAAAACTTTTTGCCAGCTATTACCAGACCCAGGCCTGTAAAATGAATTTTAAAAAATTAAGCCACCTAAAATTAAAAATCCAGTCAAGAAATGGGCAAGACAAATCAACAAATGTCACAGAGAAACAAAGACAAATCCTCAACAAATATATGAAAAAATGTTCAACATCTCTATCCATTAGAGGTATGCATTTTAAAACAATGTTGATTCCATCTTATCTGGAAAGAATGACAGTCATTAAGAAATCTACAATAGCAAACTCTGGTGAGGCTGTGGGGAAAATAAAACTTTCTTCGTGGTTGGTAGGAATGTAAACTAGGACAGCCATTATGGAAATCAGTGTAGAGACATACCAATAAACTGAAACTAGAAATTCCATATGACCCAGCTGTATCACTGGTGGTGTCAACATATAAATATACCAGTATTT